TTGCTTGGTTCCTTACTCTTGGATAAAATTTCCCTACAGTCAGGACTTGGATTATGAGCTGGAATGAAAGCACCCTCAAGCAGTAACCACCATGCAAGAAACGTGTAGGTCCATGGTAAAGCCAACAAGAGCTCCCAAAATCAGTATCAGTAATACTTAAACTTCATAGTAAAAGGTTTCTCTAAACGACCAGAACCTCACACCTCTCTGTGCTACTATTTCTCTTTCACAGACTCAAGAAATAGCTAAAAAGGATATGAACTTACTATGAAACCAGGCACAAGCTTGCATACAACTCCTGTCCTCTCCTCCTGCAGACAGCCTTGGGTGAACTTAACCTCACCTTCATTAGCTGCATCTCCTCCTACACCTGACACTAAGCTGGAGGAAAAATAACCTCCCTCAGTCCCCTCCCAATCCATACATCTTTTGCTGCTTGAAAACTATTCTTGCCTCAGGCCATGCAAATCACAAGATTATCTATGACTGCATTCCTCAGGTGTGACCAGGAAGAGGTGGAGATAGCTCAACCCCCATAATGGAAAACCACCACAAATCCAAATCCCTCCCAGTTTAGAAATCTATCCCAGTTTTCCCTGGGAATGTCCTGGCTAATGCCAGTTGTTTGGTTCTAGAGTTAATGACCTAGGAAGATGAACAAGAGCAGTTTGCACTCCTCTAAGAAACATAACTTTCGATAATTTGCAGGCTCAGGAAAAGAACTGACATTTGAGATCAGGTTTAGAAGGTGTCTTTCACCACCCAAGGGCCTGGAAACTTGCTTTTTATTTAGTTGAAAATCCAAGTGCTGCAGAAATTGATGGGTCAGCCACAGACAGCCTGATCCCATGTCCTGCCATGTGCTTGCTTTACCCTGCCTGGTGCCAAGAAGAGACAAGGAAGAAAAAGAAGCGTAGAAGAGCATTAACAAAAAAAAAAAAAAGCCATTTTATTGAAAATGAAATTAAAACTTCAAATTAATATTACAATCATGAGAAAATGCCAAACAATTCAATTTACAGTTGCAACATACAATACAAATAGTCCCTTTGAAGTTGAAGTAAACTGATCCACAATCATCGTCTGTGGCATAAAGCAGAGTGTGTTTGTACAATATGTGCATGAAAAGCAAATCTTGGGTGACAGCATTTGAAAAAATAAAAAAATTAAAGCTTGTATTTACACAAAATGCTACAAATATTTTGTTCCAGCGGAAGTTCAAGATTGGTAAAGCATATTTAACAACAAAAAAAAAAATTGGAATGTCACTCATATTACCTAAAGTTACTGTAAAAGTATGGTTTTGGCTGATATACTTAAAAGTACTGCATTAAAAAAAAAGCAAAGAGTTATCTGTAAACATGGAAGTAAACAAACATCTAAAAAAAGTTCTCAGAAAATGTTAAACTGAAATGCATTCTATTTAAAAACAACAAGAAATTCAGGGGGGCAGAGAATGGGGCTTCTTTGAGCTCATGGCTGATCCAGGTTTAATTATTGCTTTTGCTCATGGCTTGCTGCTGCTGCAGCCCAGCACGGAGCTGAGCCTTGCTTTGCTCAGGTTGAAAGTGCAAAATTCTCCCCACTGCAGATGGTACCTGTGGAAAATGGTAAATCTTTGCTCAGGGGACTGCTGGCAACAAAGGTTCAATGCTAAGGAAGACGCAGCAGCTGGGCTTTTAAAGGAAACTATAAACTCCACGTGAATGATGCTGTCGGACAAATAATTTGCTTTACTCTTCTGTCCTGACCCACTGTACCTGATCTGGTTACCCTTAGAAGGGGGGAGACGAGCAAAAGGGACATTGTGCCTGTTGTGCTGGAAGTAAATCTTTGGTAGGATAAGAGAGCTGGAAGATAAAAAAAGGCAATTTTTTTTCTTTAAATCTATGACCGGTGCCAAAGATTGTCACTGCCCCAAGAGAAGGGCTGTTGTACCTTGAGAGAATTCTGTTCTGCAGTCAATGCCAACCACCTCACAAAAGCTCAGATAAATTGGTATGATTCACTACATAGCACCGTTTGGGTCCAAAAATCTGATTCAAGAGCATTTCCAAGTGACCTTGAAAGCATTTTCTGAAAGCTCTGATGAGGATCTCTGCCTCAGCCTGCACAACTCCCTCCATGACCAGCCTGATGTACCGGGACAGATTTTCCAAAGGCACCAGGAGGGTTCAGGACCATGGGGATCTACTGAAAGTCAAGGGGCTGGTGCTCCTCTGTCCACAGGTACTTAGAAAATCCTTTCCTTCCTATCTCAAGCAGGAAGAGCCAGGTCAGGCGAGGTCATGGATTGACTGGATCAGGCACACGTGCCTCGACTGGGCGGAGAAAACGTTTTCAACGTTTGTCCCTAAAGGTCCAGTTGGAAAACCACGGGGACACAAACAGAGTCCTGTCGTTATTGGGCAAAACAAAAGTCTGGTCTGTGCTGGATTTATCCAGAAACAAAAAACAAGTGCTTGAATTTTACAACAAAGTCTTAAGGAAAAAAAAAGAAATTCTGGGTTGCTGCCTGCAGCCACTCTTAACAACATTTCAACACAAAAGCACCCTAAAAATTACTTAATATGCATACAGTAAACCTTAAAAAGCCCTTCTCAGCAATAACAAATAATGTACAAATATAGTACCTTTTATTAAATAGGAAACAGCTTGCACTGGCAGTACATCTCTTTTTCTCTTGCTTACTAAACAAAAAACAAAACTGAAATGTGTAACCAGACACTGGTTTTTTAAGTGCTGCTGAGACTAACAAACGTTACTTTACAGTTACAAATAAATGGACAGTGGTATGCTTCAAGCTACCACAAACCAACAATAAATAGAATCAATTACAGCTTCCATCTTTGAAGGAAAACTAAGTATTAGAAGAAAAACAAAGTGTCTTACTTATACTTTAAGCATACTTGGTATACAACCTTTAGAAGGCAAAGACTTTATTAATTTATTATTTTTAAGAGCACGTCATCACGCAGATTGGAGGGATGTACCATGCTAATGGCAGCTCATTTAACAGCTTCGCTGCTAATGAGCAGTGAGGGTGGTGTCCGGCTCTGTGTGGCTGTGCCCAACATTGATTTACTGCCATAATTTGGAGGTAGCCAAAGATCACCCAAGGAGCAGCTTGGAGGAGGCTGCGGGCAGCGGTGACTGAGGGAGTGGAAAGAGGGAGCTTTGGCCAAGCCCACTGGCACGTGCTGAACGTCCCACTAAGCCAGGCTTAACACCTGCCTGGGGAGAGCGTGGGGAGGATGGCTCAGCTCCCACCACATCCAGACAATGCCATGTCACCTCCCTGCTTGCCACAGCAGCCCTGGGCTGGGCAAAACTGGGGCCTCTCTATGGCTCTTTGGCCACAGCCTGGCTGGGGTTTGGGTGCTCTGTTTGTGCCAACCCTGGGAGCCCCAGGGTGGCTTGGAAAGTGAGTTTATGTCTTCTGTGTGGGCAGAGGTGAGTACTGCTGCCCTTGTGCTCATCCCTCTAACACGGCAACAGCCACATCAGCTTCAGAGCCACCACAGCATCTGCATGGCTCCCGCATTTAATGCTAACGGGCGGTGACTCGCTACCAGGCAGTTTCTGTCTCAAGTTTGAAACCTTTCCATTCCACCGAGTGGGCTAAAATTGCAAGGGGAGGGGAAAATGTTTCACCATTTCTCCCTTAATCCCATTTCTGAGATATTTAAGAATTAATCATTTGCAAAATATGGGCTTTGAAACAGTTTTGATTTTTCTTTGGGAAAAAAAAAACCCTGTTGAAATCCACATTATGCTGTGTATATTTAAATATGAATCTTTTCAAATTTTGAAGTTCTGAGAAAAAATCCTTGGAGAAGAAGAAATTAGGGGAAGGGTGGAAAATATTTCATCCTTCCTACCATTTTTCCAGTGTCTCCACAACTACTGATTAAAAGGCAAGACTGTGTTGAAGGCAACCAGACAGCTAATAAAAATATTTTAAACACAATATTTCCTTCATAAGTTATATAAAAAGATCCTACATCCAGAATCATTTGATGTGGATGCATTTAGGTTGGGTTTGTTGTTTTTAAGTCATATTGTAAACTGGTTCACACTGGAACTGCTTTTCAGAGTTGGGTAAAGGTCTGAGGTTTATACTATTGCAGAAATGTAATAAAGCAAAACAAAAAACATTTTTAGAGACCGAAGTCAATATATCATTACATTAAGAAACGTTTAAAGGGTCCAAATGTCATTAAATAATTATAAATATTCTTTTAAACTTAAATGATGATTCATGTTAGCAAACAACCTCAAATTTTACACATTTATAATTTAAAAAAAAAATAAAAAAAAGAACATAGCCGAACACAAATACTATGTATACCATTTTGGCTCTAGTAATATATATTGCCATTCTCATGTTTTGCATAAGTAATAACATTTTGTTTTTTTGTTTTTCAAGGTTTTGGTTGTATTTTTTGGTTTTTGGCTAATCGAAGGCAAAACGAACGGATACAAAAGCAAAAAGGAAACCCCGGGGTTGGCTCACCTAACTTGAAAACTCATTCTCTTTAAGTACCCAAAAACAAACCAAAAAAGCAATGAACACAGAGAAATTCCAACTGTTATCCGCAGCAAGGCTCGGACAGAGTTTTTTGGGACAGCTGTTTTCATCTGAATGGATCATAGCAAAATGGAAGCAACTTGCTCTTTGCTTTCCTTTTTATGTGCACCAATACAAACCAGGTGAATTGCACTACAGGTGTGGAGAGGGTCCCAAAAGTTGTATGATTGCAACTGTATCTGGAGTTCATGGTTAGTTTTGTTTTTTTATTAAAATAAAAGGGAATGCAGCCTTTGCCTTGCATCACCATGTTTCTCCTGATAGCCGGAGAGTCCGTTCTCTCCTTGTTGGCAAAAGTACTCACTAGTTATTACAAATTCTAGGGGGAAAAAAAAAAGAAGGAAAAATTCAAAAAAAGAAAAAAAAATAGGGGTGATTTTTTTTGTGTGTGTAGAAAGTACATTTTAAATATAAAACAAGGTAAAATGGTTCCAAGGGGAAAAAAAAAAAAGAAAATATGTGCTTTGATTCACATAATCTGAAACATGGGTTGTGGTATGTTGGTAACTCTTGTGTTATTTATGGCCATTATCATCCCATCTACACAGTTGCACATATTGGTAAAATCTGTTTTTCTTAAAAAAAAAATAAAACAAAAGAACAGGCACTTCGTAGTTAGTCGACCATTTGGTGGTTTGGTGGATTTATTTTTTTTTTTTTTGGCTTGCGGAGGTCGGGCTGGCTACAGAAGAAATCTCAGTACGGCCTCCAAACGGACTCATCCATCCTGCCACTAGAATTCAAGACGGTTGGGGAGCTGCTGTGGCTGCCATCCGCCTCCACCCCGTCACTCTGGGTGGGCAAGTTAGGGTTTAGCAGTGTGCTGCCGTTGGACGTGGTGGTGCACGGTGGGAGCATCCTGGAAGGGGAGCGGTCCCCTCCCGGCACCATGGGGAACTGGTATGATCCTGACGAAGTGCCATAGTAGAGATATGGAGTGCTGCTGGTCTGGAAAGGTCCACTTTGGTTTTGGGAAGAGCCAGGGTAGGGTGGTGGTAGGTAGGTGTGGTAGTGAGTGGTTGCGGACATACCCAGTGACATGCCTGAGGTGACTGGCGGTGTATAGGTAAAGGTGGCTGGATAGTGCATTCGTGGGTTGGAGAAGCGGCTCTCAGTGAGGGATGAAATGCTTGTGAACTGCCTGGGATCTGAAAATGGGCCCAGCTCTGAAGCACCTAAAAAATTATAACAAAAGATGGGGGAAAACAATTCTGTAAATACCATTTTTTGTATCACGTGATGATAGAATTTTATTTTGCTAAGATAACCCACTTCTTTTGGCCCCCAAGAGAACAGCAGATCATATCAAGCAATACATTGCAAGGAACAGAGTCACACATCCGTCTTCTAGAAGTGCTGGGCCAAACTCATCCCTTGTCTAACTCCACTGATGCCAATGGAGGGAGCAGCATTGCCAACCTGAAGTGGTCAAAGGTCATGAGTTGGGTTGGGGAAAAAAAAAAATCTCAAAAATCAAGAGATTGAAAAAGAGTCAAAAAAAGAAAGGGGAAAAAAAAATTGCTACAATCAAGAGATTAAAAAAGAGCCAAAAAAAGAAAGGACTTGGAGTTGATTTGCCTTCTGGTTTCAGATTTTTGAGGGTTATGTGTCTCTGTTTTTTTGATTGAGCCTCTTGAGAAACTCAGGTCTGGCTGCACATAAAAGCTGAGATTCCCACCTCAGCACAGGCTGTCAGGAGCTGGGATTTCCAGAAAAGCAGAAATCACTGTGCAACTTGTAGTAAAGCTACAAGAGCTGGCAACACCAAGTTAACTGCACCACTGACACCAGGGGAGTTACACTGGGGTGACTAAGACCCACTTCTTCTTGCCTTAAATCAATTTATTTAGGTGAGAATCCACTCAGCTGCTTCCTTTGGCTAAAAACCACTGTTTGCTGCATCTGAAGGATGGACAAGGCCACTGAGCTGATAGTAAAAACGCAGATTTTACTCTTCAGAGAACTTGATGGAAAATTACAAGCCCAACACTCTTTCTACCATTGAAAAAAAATTTGTTTTCATATGTAGTCTCTGCAGTCTGGTTGAAAAAAAAAAGACCACACAGTTTATGACTACTGTGAATGTCTGGATGCTAACGCTGTGAATTGGAGTCTAACGCAAAACAGGGATGGGTAAACTCATTTTGCCTAATTTCTAATCCCACATCAAACACCCAAAGCTTTGGAGCAGAACTGGAAAGCAAACGTTAGCTTGGTGATGTGCTTAGGAGATTGTGGGATGGACAGGAGCAGAAGACAAAGATGGTGAAAGCTCGTACTGAGATCCAGAAGAGTGGAAAACAGAGGGTGTGGGAAAAGGACAGAAGGAAAGAGGGAAAGCCTAATGAAGAAGTGCAGAGCAAGAGGAGGCAAATGCAATAGCCAGTATGCAGCTGACACATATACTTACAGAGAGCTGCAAAGAGTAGGGTATAAAAAAGGGGGAAAATCATTAAATCAAATGGACCCTCCCTGCACTTCCCAGCTGACACACCTAGAGCTTAACAGCCCTCCAGATCCCAGGGTTCACTCACCTCTTTGTCAGTCTGCTGAACTTGACTTAACTAAAATGAAAATATGGCGTCTTCTAGATGCCAAACTGATATGCTAAACACTAAAACACTCTGTGTATCTTCAGTTTAAGATGAAGCAATGATTTTCCCTGCAGACAGGCTTCACATGTGCCCTGCTGACATTGCTGTGCAAAAGAAAGGTCTCTCCAGCCCTTCTGTTCCTGGTCCACTCTGCTAGTAAGCAGCAGACTCAACAGCCTCTGCCACCTTGTGTGGCACATTTTGGGATTTAGATCTCTATTCTTGCCTGTTCTTCCAGCTCCATGAACCCATGCCTACAATGATATCTAAAAGCAGCAGTGGGGCAGAACTCAGGCATAGTTTGGGTTCAGGCTGGAGGACCTGGCCCACAGCAGGCCAAGCCTCCAAATCAGCCTGAAACCTGGGGATTATAATCCTCCATCTCTAACAATACTGAGCACAGAGCTTTAAGTGGGCAGTAAAAGCCCATTCTAAACTTTGATGACAATATGGTTACTATTATCTTTATCTTGGACTGAATCAGTGACCTATGGGTGAATGGGTTTGTCTCCATCATCAATCCCTTCAACCACAGCGCCCTGGAATGTAATATAACTTGTACCTTTACAGCAAACACTACTACTTGATGCAACTTCTTTCATTCCCAACTGCAAACAATAGCCAGAGGCAATACCACCCAGATTCAAAGCTGTAATTTTGGAACACTATCCTTTATATTGTGAACAAGTCTGATACGTATCTGGAAATATAAGGATAGAACGTAATTTCCCCAGCTGCTCAAAATACTGAGTTTCAATCTGCTACTGCTTATTCTCTCTCTTTTTATTTTTTTAATTTTTTTTATTTATTGTAATTGCAACTCTCCCAGCATGAACAGAGTTGCTCTTAGTAACCTGATAGAAGCTAAACAAGACTTTTACAATCAAAGGTGGATCTGGTCTGAGTCTAAGGGTATAGAAGAACATTGGCATTTTTGGTTTCTTTGCAACCAATACTTTATATTTTTCCTTAATACAAAGGTCTCCATACAGTTTTACACATTAAATGGCAATCTCCCTTTCAGAGCTAGATGCAAACATTCTCTGCATGGCTGCTGCCAAGATATTATGTCTGTGTGGAATGACTGGGAATGTGCACACCACACGTAGGCATTTCAAATGTGGGGCTGCAGACCTCCTTATGTACCCTAGTAAATCCACACTTGTTTGTTTTTACTGTTGCTTGTAAAGCACAATTGTATTTACCCAAAGGGCAAACAACCATAACCCTGTCTTATCTCACTCATGGCTGTGCCTGCACAGCTCCTGCACACTCATTTCTCCAACTCCCCTTTTGCCCAAGTGCCTTTTGCTATCTCCATAACTCCCTGCACAGGGCTGTGATTTGCTCCCAGCTTTATTGTATCGCCATTACGTAAAGATATTCTTAAAGATCAGAAAAAGTTCTCAGTTCTAAAATCTCATTTCTAAGGGAAACTTACTAAAAAGTTAGCTCTAAACCTCAGCTTCCTGCCACCCTCACTGCTGTTCAATCTTGTTGATGCATTTTCACTCTCCTCCTCCTCCTTTCTCTGCGCTACCTCCTTATGTTAAGGTTGATTTTGGTTCTAACTTGGAAACCCCAGATACCTATTCATTTATACATGTTAAGCTCTTTGCTGGACTGGGAAGATAAATAGTTCTACTGGGTATGGTGCCCATCTTAGTGTATCTGCCTGTGCACAAAAAGTGATGTGGATCAGCAATATAGCAACATGGCAGTGCAAGTATATAATTCATAATAAAATAACTACAATATTATAGTAATTTATTTATTCCTCTCCCCAGGAGGATTAAAGTTTTAGGCTAATTTTTCCTCCGTCAGAGCAAGTAAATCATTTGCATCTGTGAATTCCCACTCTTGTGATAGCTTGCACTAAAAGGGTGAAGCATAGACCCTCCGCCCTACATCACAGCCACCACATTGCAAAACAACACTTGTGTAAAGAGAAGAGACTTTATTTTGTGCCACCAGAAAGAGAGACACATCGAAGAGCACAGCAAGTGATCTTCTCCTATACAGTCTCATCAGCTGACTGGGCTTAACAATAACAAAAAAAATTAGAAAAAGGTATATTTTTGGAAAAAAACGAAAACATTTCACATCTGAATGAGTCCAGGTTAAACAATTTTTAAATTTTTCAGGCTGATTCCTTCCTAACATAGCCTGGCACTCCAGTTTTCTGAGAGCTAAACATTTAGGACAGAAAAGTGATCATGTTAATATGCCAATATATATGCTAACATCCTAGATTCAAGAATACTGCTCCAGTGTGTTTCATATTTAGAATAAGAATAATTAAAATTCCATGTGGTTTCACTTATTTTGATGCAGAAGCCTCATTAAAAACCCTAGACCTGGGCATCTGCCAGCAGCCAGCTCAAATTGTTTTGCATCGCGCTTAAAACCCAATTCTACCTGTTGCAGCTTTGCAGCTCCACCATTCACAGCTGCATGTTTGCCAAGGTCATTTCTCTTTTGCAGTTTACAGATGCCAGCTAGTGCCCATTAATGCTCAGGTCTCAATTAATAAGCTGCACTTGTGGTTTGCAGAAAATCAGGCAACAAATTTCTTCAGGTTTACAGCACTTTGGCCAATCGTTCCCAATTATTAAAGATCATAATGTACTGTGGGCAGATTAACTCCTTGTAGGTACAGTCAGGTGACATTTACTTTAAAGAGCTACAGGATATTTTTATAACTTAAAAATATTACAATTTGGTTTTTTATTTATTGTTATAAGGTCACTAACAAGCAAAAGTCCCCTTGGCTTATTGCATATGTTTCATAGGGAAATTCAAGTCAATGCAGAATCTTTCGATGCATGAAACCAGAGTAATGCTGTATTCACTGAACAGTCTGTCTTGAGGAAATTCAGCAACATATAGTTAAATTTATTTACCAGTAGCTAAATTATTCCCTTGTGTTTTGGGGAACTTCAGTGTTAAGACATTTGCTGAAGCTGAAACTAGGTTTTGTGGGGTTTTGTTCAACAGTTCAATTCAGGCTGGGACATTGTACTAATTGACCTATTAAAATAGTTTTTTCCTTCCCCACCATCTACGTCTCTGAATTATAAGTGCAGCCTGGATTACTTACAGCTGATGATATCGCCTTGGATGAAACACACCACACACTTCACATGATGAGACAATTTCAGTCTCGTACAGCTTTGCCAAACTTTAAATGTTCTGGCTGAAATTGTCCATGCTGGGCGTCTGTCTCAGGCTAAATTTTGATTTATGCATTTATTTGTTTTTAAAATTTTAGCTGAAACTCTTCTGCTGGGAAAAATATATTGTTTTACCAATCTTAAACTCCGAGGAGCCTTCCTTTGAAAAGCTGTACCAGTTCCATGCTTTGAAGTAAGGACTTGAACTTTGGAATAGGAGTGGCTTTTGTGTGAGAGATGTTGCCACGAAAATCCAGCCAAATATGAACAAATCATAAGCACTCTGACTAAAAATGGGCAGAAGAGTCTGTGCCCCTACAAAGACACTTGTCTAGAGACTGGAATGAAATCCAGGAGTCACAAATCCTAGCATTTTTTCTGCAAACATTTCTGAAACACAGGGACATT